TCTCTGCCTCCTAGGCGCTCAGCGGATTTCAAGCGCTCAACCCCTTTGCTTGCTTAAGGATGAAGGAGTCTCCCAGGCGCTCAGCCGTTAAAAAGGGCTCATCCCTTTGGGTTACTTCATGATGAAGGGTTCTCCAATCCGCTTAGCTGTTTCCAAGTGCTGAGCAGTTTCTTCTCTTTCTTGCCTACTCTATTTTAATTCCAACAACTATAAAAGGGGCAGAGGAGAGAAAAAGCAAAAAAAAAAAGAAGTTGCACGAGAGAAAGAACAGAGCAGAGAAAAGGAAACAGAGCACCCTGGAGCTTGTGGAAACGCAGTTCTTCAGATAATCTTGTTCTTCTACGTTTCTTCTTGTTATTTTGTGCTTTCTTATTCTATAGAGAGCTAAAGCTCTAGGGTTGGGATTGATGTAGTCATCAAACTCCTGCGTATTCCTTCTTGATTCATATATATATATATATATATATATATATATATTACATCTATTACTCAGTGTTAGTGATTTGTATTCTGTTCTTAATGCTTTGATAAACTGATCATTTATCTTTGATCTTGGATTTAGAATTTGGTTGGAAAACGTTTTCTGAATCTAGACTTGAAACAAATCACCTATTAGTTTTGAGAGCCAGAATTTCTTATGCCAAGGAATTGGGTCTGAAAGAATATAGAGAACTCAATGGAAATGAGTAATGGAATCATTTGAAAGAATCAACAGGAATGCATAGGAGGGAGATTGATAAAATCTAATCTCAACTGTTTATCATATCTATTTTCTTAAATTTAATCTAACTTTGGTTACTTAAGTTTAAATCACTGCTCATATCAAATATTTAACATGTGTGATTATTCAAGCTTTGAATTTACAAGTAACAATTAGTATAATAGAAATCAAAATCTACTTCACAAGTCCCTGAGGACTGACAACCTTTTTACTATATTACAGAGATTTGGGTGCGCTTGCTCGTAAAACCAACAATTTTTTATACATTGACCTGGTAATGCATATAGATGTATGTTGTTGAGGTGTGATGCTATGAGGTGTTGATACTGAGAATCTTATAGGCATTTAGACATGTTGATTGACTTAGGACTAGAAAAGAGAATATTTTTGAAAGTTAGATATCCTATTATGAGGATATTGGTGTGACGCTTTGGGAGACCAGTTGTTGAGAAATCCTCCTTTAGTATGTGTTAAGCTCTTGGAGTGGATTGGTGAGTCTCCTATGGATTCTTAGTCAATATTGGAGTAAGGTATGAAGTTGAGGACTACAACTCTTAACTAATAGCTGAAAAGGTATGCGGTATTATGAGGATAGTTAATTGGGTTGTAATCCATGGGGACTTGGTTAATATGTGTCAATGTCATGATAAACTCACACTCAAGCTATGTTATACTTGACAGTGGTATTATACTTTCTTAGTTTAAGTGTTGACATTTAAGAAATCATATGCAAGGATTGATATCCTAATTTAGTTATCGATCTAATAGATGTATAAGGCGTGAAAATGATCGGATCAGATTGGTATCCTAATTTAATTATCGATCCCAATTTATGTTGATTCTTTTAAAATCTAGCTTATCCTTTCATGTTTTCTGACAGTTGGATTGCGATAATCATGTTTACATAAGAGCAGGATAAGGTTAGTTAGAGATGGACGAGAGCTTTGGTGAGCCATGTCGTTAGCATTGTAGCCCTTGGCTACTTTTGTTTATTTTGTCGTAGTTGTTTGACTGATATCTAGAGTCATATGATATAGTTTTGGATTATTATATATACATATGTACTTGTTTAGTTTTTAAGTTACTTTTGCAAAACTTTATTTTGTGTATATATATGTATATGATTTATTATGATATTTTCCAGAATCTATAACTATGTGAACAGTAGATAAAAGTTGTATTTTTTTGTTGCTAATAGATGATTTCGTTAAGTGTAAAGACCATGTCAAGTTGTTACATTAGGAAATCAATTTTTGACTAGTGTGTATAGAAAAATATTTATTATGAGGGGTTAATCCCATAAATAAATGTCAATACTTTGAGAGATTAGTTCTTAACTTTTGATTAGGAGATACTTAGTTTAAAACTTTGTTACTTATAATTTTAATATAAAAGCTAATAATTTTTAGAGCTTCATTAACAATTAAAAATAAATTAAGTTAAAAAATTAATAATTTTGTAAATTTGTCATAAATTTAAGATTTTATTTAAAAATTCAATAAATAAGTTTAAATTTGATATAGTTAAATTTACATTTCAACCATGATTTCATTAATTTAATACAAGTAGAATTTTATTTTATCCACAAAATTACAATGACTACTAAAATCATGTACATACTACTAAAATCTTCACCACTAAATTGACATAGTAGTTTTAAACATATATATAATTTTTAATTTGAGTATAACATAAATTACTCATAATAATATCTAATAAAAATAAACTACCATAATAAATACATTGTTTTAGAAAAAGGTGCATATTAATTTTAATCCAATAATAATAACAATAATAATAATAATAATAATATAATAATAATAATAATAATAATAATAAATAATATTAAAAATACACCATTTGACATACTTTTTTATCGTTTGAAATTTATTTAAAATTACAAAAATAAAATGCGAGCCTAACATTCTATTTAATGAATCTCTCTTATATATTTTTTTGTAGTTTGCAATAAATTTCATCTAATAAAAAATATTAATAAGGATGTGTTAAAGAATATATTGCTTACACTTCTCTTGTCAAAATTACTCATAATAACAAATAATAATATTCAATAATATATATTACTAATGATAAATGTGTTGCATTAAAATATCAATGTTTCAACAACCATTATATACATATATGGGAAAGATTAATGTATTTTAAGAGTAACCTTAATAGAATTATTCCACTCAATAACTATAATCTATACTACCTCTATAAGACTTAGTTACTTAATTCATTAAGATTAAAAAAAATAGTTAATTTAGTTGGTAATAATAATTTTATCTTATTTAATTTTGTTTTTTTAAAACTACCCTTATACTATTTATCTTATCTAATTAATTCTCATATGCATTCTTTCCAATTAGAATGCATGTCATATATTATTTATTTCTCCTAATTTATTCTCAAATTTCTCATAACCAATTAGAGTGCATGTTTTTTGAAATTTATAATTAATACATTTAATCAAATTAAGAGAACACACATTAATTAAGGATATTTTAGTCTAAAAATAATTAATATATGAGACAATATGAATTGAATCCTATATAAAAGAATAAACAATTATTTTAAGTTGATTATTATAACTAGGAACGAAGATAATATTAGATTTTGACAATCTAACAATTAAAAAAATTATAGTAATTAGATCAAGTCTACAATCCTTTTACAAAATTTAATAATTATTTAATATTTTATTATATTAATTCAAATTGACGTAGATTGTCAATTCAAATTAACATCTAATATTTTTTTTAATATTTATCAATTTGAATTAAAATAATAAAGTATTAAATAGTTATTAAATTTTATAAATTTTTTTAATTATTTATTTAATAATAATTTTTAATTTAACATTATATTATTAAAATTTAATGTTAATTATAAGTTATTAAATAAAGTATTTTCATAAATAATTACTTTCGGAGTTTTCTATAGATTATTAAATAGTTATTGATTTGGTGAAAAGAGTTATATGCGGGGATAATAATTAATTATAATTTAGATTTGTAAAACATTAATAATTTTGAGTTTAATACATTATTTAATACCTAAATAATTTTAGTTGGGTTCCTAACCTAAACAAGTCTTTCAATATTTTATATTTTTGTAATTTTATCCCTGTCTCTTAGAAGTAAAAATTTCTTTTACAATTCATGATATTTGACAAAATATTTTGTATAACTTCGTACTCTAACAACAACATTAAATTATTAATTAATGTCATCATCTATGTGTGTCAAATAACATAAGAATTATTGTAATGTGTTAATCATAAGAATTTCAAAATAGTTATAAATTTTAGTTGGAAGAAATTAAAATCTAATATATATGAATAATAATATGAAATAATAATCTAACACACATGTCGTTGTACAACAATATAAAAAATATTCTATCAAATTATAAACAACTCTAACTTTAAAAATTAAGTTAAAAAAGTATAAAGAGATGAAACCAGTTATTATTTTTTAGTTAATGAATCTAATTAAAAGTTTTAAAAAATCATATTAAATCATAATTTTATAAAATACTAAGACACCAATAAAATTAAAACAATAGTATTAATTATTTTTAAACAATAAATAATATTAAATAGTTATGAGTAAATGCTTCTACAAGCTAACAACATTTAATGTGAAATAAATAAAATAATTTAATTCATAAATATTTTGTTGCTTAACATGTATGATATGATTAATAAATAATATTATTCTTTAAACATGTTTCAAGGATTTAATTCCTATTCAATACTCGATTTGTATTAAAAAAAAGTCAGTATTTTATTTCAATATCTTGATAAATTAATCTTCAGCTGTAATAATATTTCGGTTGATAAATTAATCTTCAGCTGTAATAATATTTCGGTTTAACAAAGAAAAAATAATACCGTCGTTATAAAAATAAAAAAAAGGGAAAAACACTGTAAGTGTAAATTTACCGACATTCGAGAAAATAAATGTCTACTTTTATTTATTTATTTTGAGGACAATAAATGTATACCTTATGGCACCATCTTTTTTATTAATACATAATATGCTAATAAAATATTTTTATTAAATATCTATAAAAAAGAATTTACAACAATAATACATGTAATTATTTTAAAGAATAATAACACATATAAATTACACTTAAAAAAAAAAAAAAAACTTTTGAGAGTTTGAGATGAAGTGTAGATAGATACTCTATCCACCGAGTGGGTGCATATAATAACTCAACTATGTATTGAGTGGGGGACGAGTGGTGATTCCTCATTCCAGAGTCCACACTCCGATTCCTAACTCTTTTTCGTCCTCTTTCTCTGCTCTTTTCTTAATCCTTAAATTAAAATCCTACAGCTCCACTTTCCATGTTTTTTTTCCCTTTCTTTTCTTTTCTTTTCTTTTCTCTTTCCTTTCCAGTATAATAATTAATAATTGAAAAATAAATAAATAAATAAATATATACTGCATCTGTGAGAAGTCATAAGTCATAAACCACATCCACCACCCACCGTTGTCTATTATAAAATAACTGAGCCATTTCTTAGTGGCTCCACACAGTCTCTTCCTGCGGCCACCATTGTTCAATTCTTTCTTCTTCAATCTCAACTTTAGTTTATATCATGGCTCTCAATATCTCTTCTCCAGCTGAAGTCAAGTCCATTTTTTTCTCTGACCCCTTCAAGTCTAACTGCCTCACAGCAAAATTCCCAGGTCCTCTCTTCTCTTTATCTTTTCATTCTCCTGAAATTTTCTGGGAAAACTCAAAAGTCAACGACTTTGTAGAGAATCCCCCTCCCCATCATTTCCTTGTGTTGAATTATGTTTACTTTTTTTTTTTTTTTCTCTCATGAAATTATGTAAAAAAAATTTCTTGGTTCTATCCTGTTGTGAGCTATGCATGAAAGGTTGTGTGTATTGTGATGGTTTGTTTTGTGGAAAAGCAATATTTGTTGTTATGTTTTGATGTCAATTACATGGAGCATAGAGGGGTTGACTTTCGTAGTCCTTTGATTTTCAGGTGGCTTTGCTTTCAAAAGAAGAGAGTGTGGAGCAGCATCTGGAAGGCGAATTTCTTGCTTAGCGCAGACACCACCTCCAGCATGGCCAGGGCGAGCGGTTCCTGAACAAGGACGCAAGACTTGGGAGGGACCAAAACCCATCTCCATTGTGGGATGTACTGGTTCAATTGGAACTCAGGTATTGGTGGAAAATGGAAATGGAATCTCCCTCTCACATGATAATCTGCAGTGTAGAAATATATTCGAATGATAACTGATCTATTAGAAACGGCTGGACCAAAATCTAGCTTAATAAAGGAGAATTAGCTTAGTGTTATAAGGAGTATTTGGGTTATATTCCTAACTAATGTAGGACACTTTAACAGTTAACACAACACCTTATGCCTAGGATTGAACTATTTACCCCTTGTAGATGTAGCTTGATTTGCCTTTGTCATTTTTTGATGTAGTGCTTCTTTTCCCCTGTATGCTTTTGTAGACACTAGATATTGTCGCAGAGAATCCAGACAAGTTTAGAGTTGTGGCACTTGCAGCTGGTTCAAACATTACTCTTCTTGCAGACCAGGTAACCACTTCACTCCAAGCATGTAATAGAACTATGGATTGATTTGTCTCTCTATCTGTGACCAGATTTTAATCTGAAATTTCACAACCTCGGTGGATTTATCAATTCATTCCCATGGCTATTTGCTACAATAGTTTTTGACACCTTAGTTGCAATAAAAAGGATCTTTCTGGTTATGTTTTCAAATAATTCAGGTGTAGTGGCCATGCTCTTCTTTTGGATTTATAGAGTTGACCAGGGATTTCATATTTTCTCAAAACTTTTCTTGGTTAGAAATCATACAAAACTAAAATGTTTTAAAACTAAATTAATTACTATGGTCTAAGGCTCAGTTAATGTATCTCATAAAAGGGAAACCTAGTTTATGACCTATTTGAGGACAATATATGTGTAGTTTTACCCCTGCAAGTGGAGAGGCTGTTTCTAGGATTTGAATCCGACTCCCAGGTCACAAGGCAACCTTACTGTTGTGCCAAGGCTCACCCTCAGTTATCGCATCTCATATTTTCAATATAACAACCAGAAAAAAAAAAAAATAATCTCTTTAATATTTATGTTGCAGGTAAAAAGATTCAAGCCTCAACTTGTTGCTGTTAGAAACGAGTCCCTAATTGCTGAGCTTGAAGAGGCCTTGAATGATGTTGAACAAAAACCTGAGATCATCCCTGGAGAGCAGGGAGTCATTGAGGTGGACATCTGGTTTATTCATATGCTGTAATTTTTCTTAGAGAGCCAATTTTGTTTTTTATAAGCTATATCTTATATTCTCAGGTTGCTCGTCACCCAGATGCCGTCAGTGTAGTCACAGGAATAGTAGGCTGTGCAGGACTGAAGGTAAACCTCTTTTCCCTATTTTTGGCCCTTCCTGGTAAGCAATCTCTTTGTCGTGCGATGTAATGAGGTCTTCTGTGTGCATGCATCAACATTTTTTATGTTTACTTCATCCAACAATGTGGAGGATTTTTTTTGTCTTTGTGGGGAGAGGGGGGTATCATCAAGTTCATAGCGAGACCTTAACAATCAAGCCTTATTCAACTAGCTGGAAAATAATGACCATGCTGATTGATTTCGTATTAGGGCATTGACTGTTTGAATGGAGAATGATCCATAAATGTTAAAGCATATCATTCTATATATAATGAAGGTAGAATAGAAGTATAAGAAAATTGCTTATAGTGGCCCATTGTATGAACTAGTAATTTTTTTTTGTCAGTTGCAACTCTATTGTTAATTTGCTCCCCATGCAAGGGAACATTTTTTTTATAATTTTTTTAAAAAAAAAATCTGTAGTTAAATTAAAAAGACAGAATAGACACAAACTAAAGATGGTATTGGTTGTCATTTATTTGACAACAGATATTAGAAAGCTGAAATCCTCTCATAATTTTATTAGCCAACAGTTGCTGCGATAGAAGCAGGGAAAGATATAGCTTTGGCCAACAAAGAGACGTTGATTGCTGGAGGTCCTTTTGTTCTTCCTCTTGCTCGGAAGCATAATGTAAAAATACTTCCAGCTGATTCAGAACATTCTGCCATTTTTCAGGTAAGAAAGCAAATGATCTATTAAAAATGTGTGTGCAACGAATTCAATAGACATGCCCATGTTATTTATTATCCATATACCTCTGGAATTTTCATCTTTTTTATTGAGCACAAGCAATTATTTATCATCCACTCCGCTTGTTCTGCAAAAGCTTAAAGGATTCTTTGCTTCAGTGTATTCAGGGATTGCCAGAGGATGCACTTAGGCGAATTATTTTAACTGCATCTGGAGGTGCTTTCAGGTGTGTCAAATAAACCACATACAACTTTATTTGGTTGTTTTGCATGTTCTGTGACTTCATATTTTGTTTTTATGTTGGCTTTTTTTTTTTTTTTGGGAATGGAAAGAAACTGAAAGGGAATATGTTGCACTCTAAACTTCCCTATGTATATCTGAATTTCTGATTGCTGTCCTCTGTTGAATCAATATTCTTTGATCATGGAAAACCTTGAATTTTTGCTCTCTTAGTTCTGTTTCAAAGCTCTATATAATCTATTTGACTACAAGTATCATCCACTTGGTGATTGACAGGGATTGGCCGGTTGATAAATTGAAAGATGTTAAAGTTGCTGATGCATTAAAACATCCCAACTGGAATATGGGGAAAAAGATAACTGTTGACTCTGCTACCCTTTTTAATAAGGTTTGTTTCTTGTTTGATGTCAATACATTGGATGAGAAGAGCTTTTCTATGAATCAGTTTAATTATGTGGTATGGATTTCCTATCTATAAGATAAATTTTTCTTCTACTTCTTCACAGGGTCTAGAAGTAATTGAAGCACATTACTTGTTTGGAGCTGACTATGATAATATTGAGATTGTCATTCATCCACAATCAATCATACATTCAATGATTGAAACACAGGTCTAAACCTTATTCTATGTAATGTTTGATTACCACATTTTAATATCCATACATTCATATATAAATGCATGAAGAATCATAGCACCTACAAATCCCAGCCATTTGCTAAATTAGCAAACGGGTGGGGGTAAACTTATGTTATGTATAATGTAGAAAAGGAGAAAAGGATCATTCAACATTGTTTAATTTTATCTAATACAAAATTATTTCTTGATTCCAGGATTCATCTGTTCTTGCACAGTTGGGTTGGCCTGATATGCGTTTGCCAATCCTCTATACAATGTCATGGCCTGACAGGGTTTATTGTTCTGAAGTCACTTGGCCTCGCCTTGATCTTTGCAAGTACTATAATTTTCCCTGAACCTTATTAATTTCAACTCTATCAAATTGTCTTTTCAGTCCATTCCAAAGAAAATAGACAGATCTAGTTGACATGTTTTCAAATTTTGAAGCCTTTATTGTTAAATGAAATTTTATCAAGTCCAATTTGAATTATTGGTGGTTCTTATTTTGAATATTAGATCATTTTATTTTTGTTTTCTATTTTGGCTCTTCACCAATAACGTTGTCTTGTCCTTCACCTCCCTTTGTCCCTCGTCCTTTCTTTGTTGTTTTTAGTTGGATTAAATGTAGTATCTTTCTTCAAGCATGTTTAGTCAATGTTTGATTCAACTTATTTTGAAAAAATAATTACTTATTTTTTGCCAGCTTCCCTAGAGAAATTGTGAAAAATTAAGTGATTATTTCCAGGAAATTAATCTTCCAAACATGTATACTGTAAATAGTAAATACTGCAAAGGAATACAAAGTTGGGTGCATTATGGTTTTGATATGGGTTAATTATCAGGCGGCATCCAGAGAAATGCTTAAAATATGTTACTATAAGTTCCATTTCACTAGTGTAATTTACTTTCTTGAAATGTTATTACATTAGATGAATCATTTAATTAAGTTGAAATTAGCATGGAGCTTGTGTTCTTAGTTTGTCTTACAGAGTCCTATTTGAAATGTGATTATGCAGGCTTGGTTCACTTACATTTAAAACTCCAGATAATGTAAAGTATCCATCCATGAATCTTGCCTATGCTGCTGGCCGTGCTGGAGGTACAATGACTGGAGTTCTTAGTGCAGCCAATGAGAAAGCTGTAGAAATGTTTATTGATGAAAAGTAAGATTTTTAGTTATTTTTTCCCCATTACTAATGTTGCACCAAGAGTTTTTCTGTATATTTATATCTTGGAATTTTCTACCTTGATTGAAATTGTTGAAATGTGATGTGGGTGGCCAAGCTGGGGATGAAGGATATGAACCATTATATCCAAAGCTCACACTATGCGTATTACAAGAGGATGTTGCTGCATGCATGACTAAAATCTGACCAATAGGATAGTCAATTAGTCATGCAAATTACCACTGATTGATGCTAATGAAAGTAATATGTGATATTGTCTGACAAGCTGCACAATTTATCTAAGGGAATGAAAAAAACGAATAAGTCATTTAAAAAATACTGCAGTTATCGGACATAATCAATCTTCAAATAATAAATTACTTCCATCCTGAAATAATCTCAAGATGATTGATTACCCATGTTAATGCATGCACTAAATTTTGTTTGAAAATCCAAAACATTGACTCATTTTCCGATTTTTCAGAGGAGATCACTTGGCTCTTCTGGGATCTTTCATTCATGAAGCATAGGATTCTATGTATTGAATAGAAAATGCTTAAGTGATTTGGTTGTTTGGTTAAAAGCCTTTCGTGTGTCTTTGGGTGGGGGTGGATATTAAATAGCATTTTTTTGAGGCCTTTAATCCTTGATTACGTGACCATATTACTTTGTTTTTTTGCCTATGCTTTTTAGTTCCATGCAAAACATGAGCATCAGGTATTGTCAGATTGTCACATGTTATTCTGAGACTGCTCTTTTGAGGTGTCCTTGTCTCGTGCTTCATGTTGTCTTATTGCTAATGTAAATTCTCCTCTAATTGGCTACTTTGGTGTTTCCAGGATTAGCTATTTGGATATATTCAAAGTTGTGGAGCTAACATGTGAGAAGCATCAAAATGAATTGTTAACTTCGCCTTCCCTTGAGGAAATTATTCACTATGATCTGTGGGCGAGAAAATATGCTGCTAGTTTGCAAGACTCTTCCAGCTTGACTCCTGTTCCTGCATGAGAATCAATAAACTAGGGATGTGCCTTCTTTCACCATAGTTTCTTTGTATGCAATGTAGAATGATGCATTCCCCAGATGTTGAAAAATAAATAGGTTTTTATTTATGCGATGTTGGTGTTATAACATTTTTCAATTGTGGTAATTCCGTTCAAAATATTGTCCTTTTAATAGTCAATAGGGAGGTTGCACATGCACATGAATGTGTCAAAGTCAAGAAGGGGAATGGATCTTCTCCTATTCAAATTTTACACAATCCTCGTCAAGTACAAGTTTTGTATTTCTATCTTTTTTTTTTAATAGACATTAAATAAGTGGAGTCTTATAAAAATTAATAGAGATAGACACAAAAGTTGACCTATTATGATAAAGGGATTCCTTATCTTTTTAAATTTTATTATTACTATTTTTACACACGTATTCGTTGGCTGATAATGATATTGTTATGAAATTGGCATAGCATGTGTTGTGTGGGTATCGTAGCTGTTCCTCTTGCATAAAATATTTTATAGACTCTGCTTGACGGTTTTGCTTTTCTCATCATCCATTGGGTTTTTCCCCCTTATTTTATTATTATGAAATTGGCACTACCGTCACTTTAATGTAATTTTAGTGTATTCTTTTAAAAATTATTACTATTTTCTTAATTAATATTTGTTAAACATTTTTTAGGAGACTGTATATTCAAATCCCAAATCAATATATATATATATATATATGGAATCCTCCACCTTTGAACCTGGTTTCCTTTGGTTATCTGTTTTTGGGGTGTATTGGGAAAAACCCAAGTCCCACATCGACTAGAGATTAGGCAATTGAATAGTATATAAGTGGAATGTAACCCTCACCTTACAAGTCGGTTTTGTAGGGTTGAGTTAGGCTTAATCCGCTATTCTAAGATGGTATCACCCACTATTTATCCACGTACCAAGCTCAAGCTCAATAGTGCGAGGTGTATTGGGAAAAATTCAAGTCCCACATCGACTAGAGATTAGGCAATTTGGATTTATAGAGTTGAGTTAGGCTTAACTTCACTATTCTAAGATGAGCATAATCACTAATGAATTACGTACCAAGCTCAAGCTCAATAGTGCGAGGTGTATTGGGAAAAATTCAAGTCCCACATCGACTAGAGATTAGGCAATTTGGTTTTATAGAGTTGAGTTAGGCTTAACTTCACTATTCTAAGATGAGCATAATCACTAATGAATTACGTACCAAGCTCAAGCTCAATAGTGCGAGGTGTATTGAGAAAAATTCAAGTCCCACATCGACTAGAGATTAGGCAATTTGGTTTTATAGAATTGAGTTAGGCTTAACTTCACTATTCTAAGATAGTATCAGAGCATAATCACTAATGAATTGTTTTGTTGGTTTTAATACGCCAAAAATGATCCGGTGCCATCCAGCTGAGGTTGGCTGAGAGAGAGAATGCTAATTGAGAAGGTTCAAGCTCAAGACCCGTGCAGAAACTCTCACGACATCAAGCAAGTGGGTTGCAATGCCTTTTCTTCTGTTAGAGGGAGTTACCCAAATGGCTCTAATTCCACAAGCAGCAGCGGTTGGTTTGGTATCACAGAAGATGGCCCCCTCCATCCTTTCCGAATCACTCACGGAAGCAACTTTTTTCTCAACCTCCCTTTGGAAAATAACATTCCCAAACTGAAGAGTGGTGGAACGTGGCTTCACTCTCCTTTTCTTCACGCTATCAACAGAGGCAGACACAACTTTGAATGTAAAATTTGTATATTTGTTACAAGTTATAAGAACGGCTTTTTACTCTTGTAGTATAGTTTTTGAAACTATTAAAACTGTCTTGAAATTATTTGTCTTTGGGATTATTTGACACAGTTTTGCTATAAGACATAACGAATTATATGATAAGTGTATTTGTTTTTAATGTTGATGGACCCGTTCGAGTCGTCTTGGAATCGTTATAATCGACAGTAATTTCATCATTGTCACTACATGTTATTTAACACCACGTGTTGGTTTAAAATAATTTCTCTCTTGAGTGACCCATACTATTTCTATTTTTTTTAATTTTTTTATTAGATCATTATGGGCCATATCATCTTTATTAAAATTAAAATTAAAACTAAATAATAAAAATATATTGGTTCAACTGGTATTGTAGTTAGTTCTTTAGTACAAAGATCTTGCGTTCAAGTTTTGAATAAAAGTATGTGAAATGTAAAAAAAAATTGAGATTGAGATTGAGTTATAAAAGTATGTTAAATAAAAATTGAGATTAAGTAAAAAGAAAGTATGTTCATCCAACCGATATTGCAGTTGGTCCTCGAGCTAAAAAGATATAGTGATTTATCAAATGTGGACATGGTGATTATTAAAAGGATTCCCTTTATATATTAGCAAAAATAAATAATTTAAAAAATTATAAACATAGTCATTACGGATCATAGTACCACAGGCCTTGGTCACGTGAAAAAAAGAGCAAAAACAAAAAAAAAATAAAACATGGTCATTATGGCTCATAATATCACTTGCTTTGATCGTCCTGTTACAATAAAAAAGTGTCATGTGGCCCAAAACTGTAAAACAAAATAAAGATAATATGGATCATAACGACTTTTTGAAAAATAAAAAAATCAATAAAAAATGGGGTCACTATGTAGCAACAAAAAAAAATAGATGTTTTTATGTCATTGTACCCATAACAACTAATAATAGATCGTTACCGATTGTAGTGACTCTTTCTTCATGATTCTTATATCTCAAAAAAATTATACATGTTATGTGGGTCGCTATGACCCGTAGGGATAGCGTGTAAAATAATTCCAAAGACATAAATAGTTACAAAATAGTCTCACTTAAGTAAATAGTTTCAAAAACTACACCATAAGAGTCAAAAAGCCTTTAAAAAATATTCATGAGTATTATTTATTTTCGAAAACGTAGTTATTTTATGTTTTAAGTTATTTTGGCTCTTACTCTGGTACTAAGGATGACTTCTAGAAGACCCTAGTTGTAGTCCAAAACCTAAAACGTTCAAAGAGTGTCCTCTTTTATCTTTGTCCAATAATCAAGATTTTATACTCAAAAAGTTGTGTCTTTATGGGTCTCAAAAATCATGAAATTTTTGTAAGAATTTACACATTATTAAGTACTGTATTTTGGTGTTTAATTATGGTCATTAATGATTAAATTTTGTGTTAAATATGAGTTTAGAGTCAGATAAATGCTAAACAATTTTTCAAGTAGGGATATGATTATTAGGATACTCGATCAAGCACTCAGTCAAACCCTCTCGACTAGATTTTATCAACCAAACCCTCTTAACAAAAGTTCGAGAGAGTACAATTCTCACAGTGATATATTAAAAAGTTATATTTTTATAAAAATGTGAATTGTGTAACTCAACTAAAATTTTTATTTTAACTTTAATTTTATTATTTTAAAATTTTAAAATATTTCTTAAAATGTTTAAATTTAATCAAACTTATTTTTTATTCTCGAGAATGACATTCTTGACAATATTATTTTCGGCAATTCAATGTCATTCGGCGAAAGAAACTCCGAGGAATTGACACTAACTCTCACAGATCATGTTTGGTTCTCTTTTGCTTTCAGTGCACATTTGCATTTGGATTATTGTTGCTAACGTGCTTCATGTCACTTAGGTTTAAATGGGCCTTTTGTAAGCAATGGAGATGGGCCAAAAAAATAAGTATGGGCTAGAGTATTAATGCCTTATATATATATATATATATATATATATATATATATAAGAATTTTAAAGAAAAACTAAGAGTTTATTGCTTTTATTATTGAAGCGTTACGTTTCCTCAGTAATTTCTAACATAGCCATTTCTATTAATTAATGTTATTATATCTCTTCATCTTC